GCAATGTGTGTGAACAAGATCTTGGGGTATGGGTGGACCAAAAGTTAAATATGAGCAGGCAGTGTGATACAGCAACAAAAAAGGCCAATGCGATCTTGGGGTGTATCAACAGAGGCATAACATCCAAATCGCAAGATGTCATAGTAGTCCCGCTGTACACCGCATTGGTCAGGCTGCACCTGGAGTATTTTGTTCTGTTCTGGAGGCCTCACTTCAAAAAGGATGTGGACAGAATGGAGCAGGTGCAGAGGAGAGCAAGGAGAATGATCGGGGGCCTGGAGACCCAGCCCTAGGAGGAAAGGCTGAGGGCCTTGGGAATGTTCCTTCTGTAGAAGGGGGTGGGGGGAGAGACAAGATGGCTCTCTTGAAGTATTTGAAGGGCTGTCACTTACAGGAGGGCAGGGAGCCGTGGGAAGGTACTGGTTGGATCTCAGGAAAAACCTTTTTACAATAAGAGTTGTGCAACAGTGGAATCAGCTGCCTAGGGAGGTGATAAGCAGTGTCTGGACGAACACTTGTCAGGGATGCTCTGGGGAAGGCTGATCCCGCATTGAGCAGGGGGTTGGACTAGGATGGCCTGTATGGCCTCTTCCAACTCAGTGATTCTGTGACTTCTATGTGAGCTGTAGTAATTTTTATGTATGCAGTGAAAACATGTTATAAAATAGTACTTGTAGTTAATGATATCTACCTCTCTTGGGAAGTCTTGAGTTTTCTTTGTGTTCTATATTTCAATATAGAACAAATCAACGTCTTTCTTGTTTGTGGGGGAGAGGTCTGAAGCAATTTGTGTCTCAGCTGTACGCGTAGACATCAAGGCTCTTCTAAACTCCTTGGTAAACATACTCTTCTCTTTTGACTGTTTTCGGTGATGTTTACATTCTGGAATAGATAACTGGAAATAGCACAGGTCTGCCATCTGCAACCTGATGACCTCTTGGAATGTCTAACCCAAAACGACAGTTTTATCTAAATAGCATACTTTTAAAAAATAAATTCATAGGCTCATCCATCAGGACGTTTCTCCCACCCCCTTGGTGGTGGTGTCCTCCCAGGAAGTCAGAATGAAACAAAAATGTGGAAGAAAGCTGTGGCTTTTGGGACTGCCTGATAAATATTTTCTGTAGTTCCCACCTTTTTATTCTACTGTTTAGTTTTCTTTTGGATGGTAACTTGAGTTGTGGGCCATCTTTTTTGCTACGACTGAAGTACATATCTAAACTCTGACTCACCTGAATGTCAACGTTGCTTTCATCAGCCACTGGTGGCTTTTACTTGGCCGCAAGTATTCTGCTACTTTTAGAAAGTGCTCATCTTTTCTGCCTCCTCTCCCAGGCTCAATGGAAGAGACATGTGATGTCGGAGGTAGCTTGAGGTCTAAAGACGCTGTGACTAAATACATCTGGAATGCAGTATTGCATGTGGAAATCGAATGGATGCCTGACTTCAAGCAGACCAGTCCATTATTTCCTTGTAACTATAACAATGAGCATGTGAGTGTTGATAGTCGTCAAAACATTAAGGGCAGACATTTCAGTGGAAGGGATCTTAGGCCATGCTCAGTGTTTAAATATTTTGGAAGTGACATCTTTAAAAATAATCCCAGTAGTCTGTGACTAGGCTGCTAATGCCATTATTGCAGTCTGTAAATTCTGCTTGGCAATGCTTTGCTCAGGCACTGAACAGCCTGATTTGGCTGCAGCTGGACATTGTGGGAACTAAAGCTTGAGCCAAGGAAAATCTGAGACTAGTGAGAGCAGCTGTCTGCAGCAGAAGTGTGAGAACTACTGCTTGGTTATGGGTTCAGATGCATCACAGCCCTGCTGGCTGGAGATAGGACTGTATCTACCAATAAACTACAGAGTTCTTGCTGCCAAAGAGATGCTAATTAAGCAGTCTGGCAGTTTTCTCTTTGGGGGGAGGTGAAATATGTGTTCAGGAACTGCTGCATAAGCATCTTCTGAGGCTCTTTCACATCAGCACCACTTACATGCAAAGCCTCTCAGGTTGCTTCAAAGTCAGGCGTCTTCGAGGACAGCTGAAACATGCTGCAGCGGAGACTTGCCGCTCTGCAGCACTTGGCAAAGGTAGCAGGGAGATCTGTGAAAGCCTGACAGGGAGAACAGAAAAGGTTTTCTGAGAACATCTTTCAATTTTTCCAAGGGAAAAACAGGGGGGACTTTGGGAAGCACTGGAGGGAAAAACTCCCATGAATTCTTTTTTTGAGTAAAGCATTGCACTCCATTCCAGATGTATACCATGAAAAAGTCCTTAATTTTTCCAGTTGAAGAATTGAGACATTTCCCATTTGGAAGGAGTGAAATGAAAGGCAAGCTTTTTTCGTGCATAGTATGGATTTTTTAAAATGTTAATGCAATCTACAGTATTAGGTGACAAGTGGGGGACCTGCAAGGATTCGCAGGGGTCTCATTTTCCCCTCCCCTACTCCCTTCCTTTCCTTGGCAGCCCCCATAGCCTCCCCTTTTCTTGCTTCCTTCCCACCCATCAGCCAACCTATCTTTATCCCTTGCATTTTCAGCTTTCTGTCCTTCCTTCCCCCGGCAGCCTCTCCCCAGGAAAATGCTGGTTAAATTGTACAGTGATCGCTGGGCCATGCCCAGTTGTATGGTGGGGAATCTGCAAGGACCTGAAGGGGGTACCTCATTTCCCCCCGTATCCCCTCCCTACACTATTTCCTCTTTTTCTTCTGCTGGCAGCTCCCATATCCTCACCTCTCTCTGTTTTTCTTTTCTCCTACTCAGCCACCAACATACCTTTATCTGCCCCTCCCCCCAGCTATATTTATTTATTTACTTTACCTATACCCTACTTTTCTTCATAATTGAGACCTAACTCAGGTTACGTTATTTTTTTCATTTTATCCTCACAACAACCCTGTGAGATAGGTTAGACTTGAGTATTGATGACTGGCCCAATGTCACCCGGTGAGGTTCCCTGGCAGAGTGGAGTTCCATATTTGGGTCTCCCATAACCTAGTCTGAAACTCTAATCACTACGCTGCCCTAGCTTTTGTACAGTGCATGGTATTGAATAGTTGCACGCAGTCAGACCTGGGTCAGTCATGAAAGTTGTATGTTCATCACTTGATGGTTACTGCTGTATCCTCCCTCAAAGGCGAGAACCACTCCCCCAGCCTTTTACTGAGAGAAACCAAGGCTTGAAGGCTGGCAGTACTGTGGTGATTGTCTAGCAACAGTCACGAAGGGTATTCATTTCATAAAGCTATAGATGCTCCTATCATTTGGGGGGCGAACCCCAAGGTTTTTCTAGATTTTTTTTGCAAACCTGGGGCTTTTCTCAGATTTGTAGAAGGACCTGTCTTGCTTGTCCATGGCACACGTCTCCAGATTTAAGTATTCACAGATAGGTTGAAAACTGCATATATTGGTAATTTTTATGTATACTGTAGCTAAGTACTCCATTTTCAAGATTTTTTAAAAATGCAAAATTGGCAACAATTAATGCTTAATACAATATTGGAAAGTTCAGTGTTTTCATATCCCAAGATGCTGATTATCCTACCTATGACTGTGACTATGTAGAAGTGCTTCTGTTCAAATAATACCTATATTGTTACTACAGAATTTGTAGCAGTGTATAGCAGTTTGTATTGTAACTTTCTCAACTGCTGGATATACTTGAAATTTTTCTTATGGAAAATGAAGACGTTTATGCTTTTAAATTCCATAAATATGCCAAATAGTACAACTTTATATGCCAACTAAGTTACAAATAATGCATTTTGTGTTGTTAAATAAGTGAAAAGATTTGGTTTGATAGGAAAATAAGTATTGCATATTACATAAAATGTAATATCTTCCCATTTTTCATGAAATTTCCATACCCCATTTTCACATTGTAAGTATTAGGTTTTGCAGGAATGGCTGTTGAAAAACATAATGATGAATTGGAATGATTTTGCCAGGACTGCCTCTGTCTGAGTTTCTGTTGGATATCTAACAGCAATGGTGACTTCACCAGGGATTGTTGTCGTTGGAGTCGATCTTGTGCTCCTCATCTAGTTGGAGTTATGGATCTTCAAGAAGCAGGCTGGCTTATTTTCTTGGCTCAAGTCCCTTAGCACAGGTCAAAGCTGCAGGAGTCAGTTTAAGCTGGTGATGTAAGACTGCTTGGTTTTTAACAGTCTTCATGCAGTTCTTGCATGAAATTAATCAATGCCATGAGGAAACTCCAGCAAAGAACAAGAGAGCTCTTTAGCTGACTTATGATGGGGAACCCTCACTTCCCATTAGTGAAATGCAGCTGCTGGCTCTTGTTCAGAGGGAGAATCATTGTCAGGAAAAACGCCCATCTTTTCAGTGGGAAAGCTAAAGGTTTTTGACTTGTTCTTGAAATGGATGCACAGAGGATGTGTGCTACCCCAATTCTAAATTCTTTCCTCAGAGGTGTGGTGATGAGATTGGGTTTTTCCTCCTCAACAATAATCTACTGGGTCTGAACAAAAATAGTAAAACTTGTCATGGCTTCACTGGTGAGAGAAGAGACTAACAAATAGCCCAAAGTGTCTCAGGGTCAAACCCCTCTTCCCCTGTGTAAAGGTAAAGGTTCCCTTGCTCGAAAGCCAGTCGAATCCGACTCTAGGGTTGTGGTACTCATCTCTGTTTCAAAGTCGAAGAGCCAGTGCTGTCCGAAGACATTTCCGTGGTCATGTGGCCGGCATGACTACACACCAAGGCGCACGGAACCCTGTTACCTTCCCACCGAAGTGGTACCTAATTATCTACTTGCAATTTCTTGCTTTCGAACTGCTAGGTTGGCAGGAGCTGGAACTGTATGCTTCAGTAATTGTAAAAATCATACCCCCCCCCCCCAAATCTGGGGTTATAAGGCAGATTTACAGCTGTTAAACAGCACCGGAAGCAGTATCCGTTACGAGGTGGTTTAGGGTTGTGCAGAGGTGTATTTTTGTGGTTTTCTTTAACTTCTGGTTGTTCAAGCCTCCCCCCTTAACTTTGCAGGTGGTTGTTATACTTCTTTATATAGTCAAAATTGCAAGTGTCCAAGTCAGAACTGTTTATAGGTACAGTGATTCCTTTGCCCTCTACTTTTACGCCTGTGGGAGTATGCTTGAAGTACATGTGCTACAGCTGCTTCCTTGTTTATATGATGTGCTTTTCAGTGCGAACAGTGCTAGGATTGAGGCACTTCTGGATACCACCCACAATAGTACATTACTTGATTTAACAGTTCTTAAGGATTAACTTCTGGTCATGCCCATAGCTACAGTAGGGCATCTCGGGGCCTGGCCCCCTGACTTACTGCTAAGGGCCCCTAACTTCCCATCCAGCCCAGGTGCGCACTTGGGGGTATGTGCAGGGGTGTGCGTGGAGTGCCCCCTAATTTATTTAAAGACCCCCCAAATTAAAAAATCCTGGCTACGGGCCTGCTTCTGGTATGTTTAAAACCTGAAAGAAAACACTTGTCTGCCTTGTACCAAACCCATTGGGGGCCAGTGTGATCCACTGGGTGGAACTCAATTCAAGGCCCATCTCTTCTACAGATTCACTGCGCGGGGAAGTCACTCCTCTGTCTTGAAACCCTTTATTAGCCTGGCAGTTGGCCACTTCCTAGTTCCTTTTTGGCTGAGTAATCCATACCTGCCAGTAAGACCTCTCTTTGTGGTATTTACAACCCCATCTTAAGACCCTGATACTAGTGGTACCCTGACTCATTCGCTGTTAAGTCAGCACCCTGTATATGTTTTGCAGAGAGACAGTAAGTGACAGATGCCTCTCACCAAAGCTCAGACTGAAGCCCCTTAACACTCCAGCAGCACCAGTCAAGGAGTGGTTGTTGCTGACACCCCATGCTTGGCTGTCATTTGCACAGCCAGCCACCACCTGGCAGTGGGGCCATGGTTCCCTGACCTCGCAACACTCCCCCCACACACAGTGCCAGAAGACGGGGAGGAGAGAGAGCAGCTGGCACCTTTACTCCTTTTAATGTGTGTCTTTTAACAAGACAAAGAAAATACAAATACAAGAGAAAATTCCAAAAGTAACATACAGGTAAAGGTACAGATTCCCTTGCTCGAAAGAGAAAATTCCAAAAGTAACATACAGTAAAGGTAGAGATTCCCTTGCTCGAAAGCCAGTCGAGTCCGACTCTAGGGTTGCGGTGCTCATCTCCGTTTCAAAGCCGAAGAGCCAGCGCTGTCTGAAGACGTCTCCGTGGTCATGGGGCCGGCATGACTAAACACCAAGGCGCACGGAACGCTGTTACCTTCTTCCCACCGAAGCGGTACCTATTTATCTACTTGCAATTTCTTGCTTTCGAATTGCTAGGTTGGCAGGAGCTGGAACTAGAGACGGGAGCGCTCACTCCGTCATGTGGCACACTCGGGTCTTGAACTGCTGAACGACCGACCTTCCACAGCCTGCAGTTCAGCGTCTTAACCACTTGAGCCACCGCAGCTCCAACATGCATTACAGGGTTCTAAAAGGCACAGAAGGAAAATGATTCTTACTATAACCTTATCCTTGCATGACATTATGAACAATGCTTTTCATACCCTAAAGCTTCTTGATTTGTACTCTTACATCAGTGTGTCATTTTAGGCATAAGAACAATTTCCCGTACTCTCACAATCTACTGATTAATATTCAGAGGCACAGAGGATTTCCAGCAGTGTGTCACACCTTACCTTGCTGCGGTGCAAGTTCATTATAATTTCTCTGTCTGAGGCAGGTGCCCAGTCTTTAATACAGCAAAATAAGCCAGCCACAGAATGAAGTGACAAACCACGGCCTGTTGACCCTTAAGTATTACAAATGCTCAGGAAGCTGGGGTGGGATGAGCAGCAGGAGCCCTGGAACGCCAAAGACATGGGTTTGATTCCTGGTCTGCAGCCATGTCCCTTTTGCAAGGAGCACAAACATGGGATGAAACATGGTCAGTCCAGCCACACCATTGCCATAGTCTGCTCGGCGCAGACAAGGACAATGGGCTGTCTTTTGGCCTTTTGTCAACCAAGGGAACTGCAGATAGCAGTGCTGCAACACCGGAACATGCAGCTGCTCCTTCCTCAAAAACAGCCCCCATAGCTCACTGGGGGAAAGGACCAGTATGGCAAATGGGAGGAGGCGTGGGAAAGTTTACAAGGAGGGTGAAGCCGGCTGGAAGACAAAGTTCTTTCTGGCCAGCAGGTCTTGTTCCTGTGCTTCCTAGCTGAGTGAGTGGATAGAGAATCGCTCCCAAGTGCGTGAAGCCTGGGTTCTAGCCCAGCCTCTGCCTCCTGTTTTGCTGCTGCTGGGCAAAATGAGAGCTTTGCCCTCCAAGACCCTTCCTGCTAAGGAGTTCATTGCAGGGGTGTGTGTCTGTGATTTTGGACTGAACCTATGCAGTCTTCGTAAGTTGCTCCAGAGCTTGGGGGGTGGGGAGAAGGTGTGGGGGCACTTGTTCCCCCCCCCCTCCCGTGCTTGGGGCTGGAGTGGCCTTGAGATCCAACCAAGTCCTGCATGGCCCAGAGCATGCCTCCTATTATGCTTACGTTGAAGTTGTTAGAGAACACCTGGTACAGGAATCTGTAGGGCTAGTCTGTGTGATGAGACTGACAAGACACCATTGTGCTTTTCCTGCATATCAAAAGTTGGGATACAACCTGAGTAAAGCATCATTTCTGTTTGCATATTGGTATGCATGTGGTCAGTAACTTAAATGCAGGCAGGGTCATGAGACTAAGACAGGCCTTTCCAACAGGTAGTTCACTAGCTGCTCCAGAGTAGCTCATAGATCTCCCAGAAAATCCAGGAAAAAAAATCTGCTCTAGGCTTTTTAAATAAGGTGCTTAGCCGATAGCTTCATTTCTGATGATCTCCCTGTCCATGTTCTGTTTCTAGAACAGAACAACACTTGGTAACAATCCAGTAGGAGGAAGCAGGAGATGAGCTTGGGATATTTTTCATTACTCAGAAGTAGTTCTCATTAAAGAAAAGTTTGGTGACCCCGGTCTAAGTTTAAACACTTGCGCCGAATAAATTCCAGGCCAAATATTCTAGTCAGCCTATAAATGGCTGGTGATGAAAAGCAAGGCTGGAAATATCTCTTCTGAGGCCACTTTCTGCTAAAGTGTGCAGTAATGCACCGGGGTGCTCACCTCGCACAAGCATTTGGCCTGTTGATACAAAAGTGGGAATGGCCGTCATACGTTGTGTGAGGCCTACTCAGTGTTCCTGCTTCTGATCAAGGAAGACAGCAAGGAAGGCGGCATGTTTGAGTGGAGGCTGTTGAGGATTAGCACAGAAAATGATGGCACGACAGCTGCCTTTGTTCTTCCCTTCTGAGATGATCCTCCTGGCATGCGGCTCTATTCTAAATGCAGGCCCCCCTTAGGGGGCGGGGTGGGGGTGTTATGGCTCTTAAATGAGGGTTCTACTCACAAGCTGCCTTTGGAAGTAACTCCTGGTGATGCGGCTGAGTGGTTAATGTTATTACCAGGTGTGTGTGTGTGTGTGAATGCAAGCGAAAGATTGTCTCAGTCTGCCAAAGAAATACATTTTCCTGTCTCTTGCACAAATCACTCCTTTTGTAATTGGACTAAACTGATACGGGTAAATACTGGTTTTTTTCTGCCCTCCTGCTTTCTGACCCTGTTAATATTAGGCAATTGAATTAAAGCAAGTGCAGCTTCCCTTTCCTACCTTGTTCTAATTAGACTACCGGGAGCATTTTAATCATCTGTGCGGGTATGCTGTTTACTGAATTACAAAAGTCTAATGGTGATCATCAATCTTAGTTTTGTAACCAAGCTTTCAGGTTCTTCAGCAGTTCTGCTGAGGGGTTTGTGGAGTGAAAGGTCTCTGTGTACCTAACCTGATGCATTCTGGAGAATTTTTTTCTGCAGAATAGTTAGCTGATGGGGTCAGTAGCAGACCTGGATTCTTGGTTTACTGCTGTGCCTAGAAGGCAGTAGGATTTTCCTGACTTGAACAGGGAATTTTTATTACATGATTATTGGGGTTAAAGTTGTGTGTTTCTAAGGCAAGTGTCTGCTGGCAGATTCCTTGTAGCTTCACTGGGGTAAGGACTTGGCTGGATTTGTGACACCCGGGGCAACATGAAGTACAATCCAAGGTCCTGAAGGAAAAGTAACTTGCTGCGTGCAAGAAATTAAGTTGGGCCCAGAGCAAAAACATTATGCTCTCAAAAATGTTGTTTGCATAATTCAGTTTTTTGTTTGTTTTGTCTTGTGTAAATTGAATAAAGAGTGATATTTGTGAAGGAAAGGGCTCACAAACTGCTCCCTGTTCCTTCTGATTGGACTCCTGGGAGGTCAGAAGAGCCCCAGGGTGCCAGTCATAAGTCTTGGTAACCACAAACTGCCACCCGTGGCCCTTAGGAGTATCATACATGTCAGAGTCCTGTGTCTTGCACTCTGTACCTGTGTTGCTGTTTAGAGGCCCTGACTAGTCACCACGCCTCCTGCTGCCCTTCAATCAGCACGGGGACACAACTTCACAATTTAGACCAACCGTGTTCCTGGGATGGAGAATTTCTCTGTTTACCATTCTCCTGTACTACTCTTCAGATAACTAGACAGGGTGGTGATGTTTTTCTAGAGATCAGACTTTAAGAAAGCTTAATAAATGAATGAAAGAATATACATGTTCCTTGCACTGGGTACTTTATAAATTATGCTGAATTTTAGGACAGGCAAGCTTTACTTGTAGCTGCAGTAAGTTAGAGTTCATCATTACCTGCGTCTCCACTGTCCCCTGCCTCATGGACAGTGTGGAGTCCCTTGGTGAAAGCTTAGTCCACCATGGCTCGTGTGCTGCTGAGAAGCTGCCCCAAATGGAAGAGACTCCTCTTGTCTCCCCTCCCCCCCAATTTGGGGTGGCCTTCCTGTCTCAAAGAGAGAATATTCTATCACTTCAGTCTTCCCAACTTTATTGCTCTAATCTACTGTGACTTACTAGCAGGGGATGGGATAGTAATCCATTAGCATAACAAGGAGCTTGAATGCTCTGTGCTTGGAGCTTGATGGTTACTATCTCCAAACCCTGCCCTTTGTGCCAGCTATCATTTTGCAGTAGGGCTCTGTGAACAGAAAGCAGCCACAGTAATTGAGACTATGGAGTGAATTCTTGGGTGGAGGGTGTTTCCCCACAATAACTAAGGTTGAAGTTCATCAAGAATAACCATAGGCTTCCTCTTAAAATAAGTGTGGGAGCCAATGTCTCACTGGAACTTGGCTCCTGTGGTGTTATCAGAGAAGCAGCTGTATTGTTCAGCTGCATAAAAAGTTGTATGGACTGGCAGTGTGGCATAAGATTTTGCAGACTAGAACCCACTTCAGCACAGTTGCATGAACTGTATCCTCAACTGGTTCATATCCGCTGTATGTTCCTATATACTCTCCCTCTGGTATTTAGGGGGGGGGACATGTAAACCGTTGGATCACAAGGCAATGATATGTAAGGTGATAGAGACTGGGACATCTCTGTGCAAAGGCCAAACTCATACTTTGCTGTATTGTGTAATTATTTCATCTTTTTCTCTTTTCCAAGATGGGAAGAAGAACTGGCAAAACGGAAAAATTTGGAATCAGTGGTAGAGACACTCCAAGAGGTAGGTTTTGAATGGTACCCGCCTTCCAGATGCCAGCGTCTGGTTGGCTTTGACTTTATTTGGCATCCAGTTGATTATGGCCAGACCTCTGTTATTCTGAAAGTTCGAGACCCAGCTGTATTTAGTGCTTTGCATATAACAACTCCTTCTGCAGGTGGAGTAAATGGGAGTCTGGTCCTCAGGCTGTAGCTCTTGTGAGACATGTTCTCTGGCAACAAGTAAAGAAGATTGCTTGAACGGCTTGGCTCCCTGTCACTGTTGGCAGTTTAAGAACAGAATCATTATTGGTGCTCAGAACACCACTGATTTGCTTGCTGTAGTGCTTCCTGGGAGGCGTGTTGACACATGGCCTGGCCATCTTGGCTGCTAGCAATCTCTGGGCTTCATTCACCTTGTCTTTAATCTGATGTATGGTGTGGACCCTCTGCGGCCAAAGACACAGTATTTGGAGTTTTGGTTAAAATCATGATCTGGCTGAATATGGCTTATAGTTGGTAGCACAGCATGAGCTTAACACAGCCTTTCAGATGAGTCTTCTAAAGTCCAAACCGTTGTTCCAACCTGGTCTTCTCATGCACGACCACATTGGTGTTTGTATCCAAAAAGAACCAACCGCTGTGCTTCCCTATCTGGCTACCAGAGGGGGGAGTCCACTTCCCATAAGCAGCCAGAGTCTAGTAGCAGTTTACAGGCTTGTCTAACTAATAGCGGGGCAGATTTCTCTTTGCCTGGGGGTGGGTGGGGGACCTCTTCGTACTCTACATCAGTCCATTTCCCTGCTGCTTCTACTCAGGGTGTTGCCACCAGTTGCCTGTCACCGAGTTGCCTGTCACTTCCCTTCAGGTCCAGAGTGAAGGCTTGGAAACAGTGCTTCGAGGGGTGGTGGAAGGCAAGCTTGCCGTCTCTTTGCTCATCTGGAAATACTTGCTGTTCACCCCAAGCAAGCGAGTGGCAAATTGCGTAGCTGATGCATGATACGAGCAGCTATACTAGGCAGTGGGTCAATATTTTATTCTTGGATCAGCATTTCCTTTCTGTGACTGGCGTGCCGTTTGTCCTTTAGGAAGCGCAAGAAGCTGAAGCACTCCAGGAAGAGTTGAATGAGAAGATTGAGAGGCTGAAAGCTGAGCTGGTTGTCTTCAAGGGTCTTATGAGTGACGTGAGTACCTGGCGAGCCAAGCTGTGCCCAGTCCCCTCCTGCCTTGGTAGATATAAAACCATTGCTGTAGCTTCGTCAGTGGGAAAAGGGATGGCATCAGTGAGCGCTGCTTGCAGGTAGCATCATGGCTGCTCGGTGTGATCGAATGCATCAGCCAGATCGCCCTTGTCCCCTCCCTGCTTCCCGTCTGGTCTGTGCAGATGCATTAACTTGCTGCTTATCACACTGCCCTGACCATCCCCTGATGCCTTGACACCAGCTACCAGTGCTGACCCCCTTCCGCCCCCCCCCGGCCTCCCGCCTGCAGCTCTGGACAAGAATGCAGGGGAGAATTCCCATGTACTTAAAGGGTTTAGTCATTCATGTTAAGCATAGGATTTGAGGAGCATTGCACAGAACATGTCAGTCAGCAAAGCTAAAATGATTCCTTCAGATTCTGAAATCCTCTTAGTGGTAAATTCAAACCCATTTCTCAGGATCTCTTTATTCCACGGCTGGTACTTATGCATAGCAACGCAGCACATAAACAAGGTTTAGTGTGGAGCTCCAACTATCCTCTTTTAGAGAGGGATGTTGAAGAACTGACCATGGCTGTAAAGAAAAGATTGGGGAGCTGGATTGCCAGAAGTGATGGGAGATCTCCTGTATGTGGCAACTATTTAGCTGACTTGAGGAGTTGGTGCTTCATGCTGGCGCAGCAAAGAGTGTCTTACACATGGGAGGTGGGAGTAAGGAGCCCTTTTCAGCATTCTACCCGTTTGCTTTAAGACCATGTTTATATACCGCTTGTGTTCCTCTGGGTCCAGAGCAAACCAACCTGATCATCCTCTTTTCTACCTCCTTCTCTTTTGTCTGCTGCCATCTAATTCAGGATGTGGGGTTTTTTTTTTCAGTAGTGAGTTTGTCAGACTGCTGTAGTTTCTCCTCCTTTGGAGGTTTTCAAGCTGAGGCTAGATCTGACAGCAATGGTGATTCTGTGAACTTAGGCAGATCATGAGAGGGAGGGCAGGAAGCGTTGCCTCAGTGCTTAGTTCTCATGGCCCTTTCTTACATGCCCAGGGAAATGCTGATTGCCACTTTGGGGTCAGGAAGCCATTTTTCTCCAGTTTTTGTCATTTTCTGGGCATGGAACAGTGGTCAGTGGGGTGTGGGGGGGAGGTATTTGTGAATTTCCTGCATTGTGCAGGGGGTTGGACTAGATGATCCTGGAGGTCCCTTCCAACTCTGTGATTCTGCCAGAGGCACAATGCTTCAGTTTCTGCCACTGGAAGCATAAAATGTGTCTGCACTCGGGGAGAATCCCAGGCTTTTTTTTCTTGGGAAATGCTGTGATTCTTGAACCCATATAAACAAACAGCTTTAGGTGCACACTGGGTTTTGTTGCCCTCTGCATGGGGGAAAAAGCCATTTGCTTGCACTAAGTAAGGATGGCTGCGAATGAAACTGTGTAGAAGGCAGTCTTTAAACAGGCATTGTGCAAACTCACGGGGCATAACTTTTTACCTCTGCATCATAGATGCCATATTTATTGACTGTTAACAGTTTTCAGTATACTCAGAGGTCATTTCGGGGGGGAACGTATTTCCCCCGGGTGAGGTACGGGGGGCGGGGCACATGACGAAGCCCCGCCCCCTGCTTCCGGCCGCCCCGCTTCCGGCCCTCATTTAGCCAGGAGGAGGCAGGAGAAGAGGGAGGGTAAGTTGCTTCCTCCCTGCCTCTCCCCACCCCTGCCTGCCTGGGACCAGGGAGGGCCTTCGCGGGGCTTCCTTGCACTCCCACCGGCCTTGCAGGTCCACCGCCGGGCCCCTCATGGGGCTCGGCAGTGGAGCTGCAAGGCCGGCGGTGGCTGCCGGGACCGTTGGGGGTGGGGTGTGTGGCCTTATGACACACTTCCAGTGATGTCAGGGGGTGTGGCCTTATGACACACTTCCGGTGATGTCAGGGGGTGTGGCATATGCTAATGAGTTATGCTAATGAGTTCCCCTAGCTCTTTTTCTACGAAATGACCCGAGTATACTCACCTATAATATATAGCAAATAAGTATTCTTTCAACATTTATTTTTACAATACTGCTCTGATATACAGATACAATGCCGAAGAAGTATTGCTGTGTCATAAACATGTTGCTTTGGAAGAAACTTTGGCTTGATCAAAGTTTTGCATTAGAAGATGCTGCAAGCAGACTTGGAGTTGATGGGCGTGGGTTTCTTTTTCTTTGCTTCAGAGATACGTTTATTTTACCTGTTATTTGTTGAGGGCCAAGTACATCTTGAAGGTACACATTTAGCAGTATTGAAAATCTGTACTGCAAACTTCAGAGAAATCTGTTCAGCAGAGTCTTTGGTAAATGTGTCTCCAATCTTGTGCCCGAGACTGATGTGTCTGGGAAGTGAAAAGGTTCTGAGCAAAGTAAGAAAACTTAGCAGGATGGAAGGAAGTATTTTAGGTTATCCTTTCCGCTCCTGAAGGCTATGTTGTACTAAATTTCATCTTCAGGCTTCTGAGGAATGGTTTAGTAGTCAAGTATATCACTTCTGTGTGAAAATACAAAGGTAGTTTTTACTCTTAACATCCTTACATGAATGTTCTGACTTGTTTTGAAACTGGAAATGTAGTTTCATTCGGGTACTTTCAGGGTAGGTTTCCAAGCAGTAATGGCTTTATCACTGGAGGCTTTGAATTGGGTCCTCTCAGGCTGTAGCTGCCCTCATGTGTTTATAAGAAATCTATATTAATTTGCTCTGATTTGACCCCCTGGCTGAAATGCTGCTGTCCCTTGAACATTGCTCGGAACAGGCAATGTTGTGTAGAGGCAGTTGTGATCTGCGCCGATAGGGATACTGTCGGGTATCTCTCCTTCCCTTCTGAACTGTGTTAATGGAAGATAATCCACTGCTGTCCTTCCTGCAGCCTATGACAGACCTGGACACAAAGATCCAAGAAAAAGCCATGAAGGTGGACATGGACATCTGCCGAAGGATCGATATCACAGCCAAGCTGTGTGATGTAGCCCAGCAGCGCAACTCTGAAGATGTTTCCAAGATATTCCAGGTGATTAGGACCCATCCTGTCCTACGGAGAACATGGCTGTGTTAGGAAGAGAGAGGAAGGCCCGTGCTGAGTTGGCTTTTCTGGTCTTGCTCTTTAACAGCTTCCACTTGTAAGGCAAGGCGCTGGGTTAAAGGACAGGCCTCGGCAGATGGCATCTGCCTTACTCTTTCACAGTGAAGCGGGAAGTCATTTTCTCACCTGTGGCCAGATCTTGCCCCTGCAAAGAGGTATAAGGAAGGTGCACTGCAGTCTGGCCCCTGTATCACCCAAAGTGCGTCATGACGATCTCCATTCTTTAAAAAAAGAAGCCTTCAGATAAATCTCAGCATCTGAATTCTGCAAGCAGGCTTGTGTGTGGTAGTGTTAAAAATAAAAAAGCAATGCAGAGTTCCTCCTGGTGTTTAAACTTCCTAGCATAGGCTCAGGTAGTTGTTTGTGGATCCTAGGAAAAGGGTGTTTTGCTACGGAAATTGAGATATCAGTAAACAGTTAAATCTTGTGAAGGAAAATACAGCAAGTGTGAAGGCAGCTGCTAAAATCTCCACCCACAGGTAGGCTTTGTTGCATTCCGGGATGTATTGTCCCATAGTGGTGTTTAAACAACCCCCCCCCCCC